TTCTAACCTACTACAATTCAAGCAGAGACTCGATACGTATATACACTCTAACCAACTCAACAATAACTATATAAGTCGTGTATATACATATATATATATATCCATACTAAGGGACATTCACTGGACTACAGTAGGGGTCTCAACCTGAATAGAAGGCAACATGCGAAAACGCACCCAAAGGTGGGCATGAGTACCTAGACCTAACAGGGTACACCTCAATCTACTATAGCCAGCTACGCATCCACTGCATATACGCACCCTAACCAACGAGTCTGATACTCAAGCTCCTCTCGTGGTACCATAAACATATATTTAAAATCCGTTCATAACAATCCATAATAAATCTAGTAAGTCGTTCAGCTTATTCAACTGCACAGACTTAACATAGATAACCAGTAATCCAGCTAGTCATTCAGCTTGTGCAGCTTCTTTGACTTAGCCTACATATAAGTAGGATTTATTTTTTTAATCCATTCCCTTATTCCGTATAGGTAGGATATAGCAATTTTGAGCCAAATCCAAACCTAGTATGTCACCGTCCCATACCGGTGCATACAATCCAATCCATCCGGCAGTTAATAGAATAAATAAAAATATAACTATCAACCAATCCATACATTCCACAATTGACAATAAAACACTAAGTACAAATATCAATTGTTCCATATTAAGCATGATAAAATAATTGTCAATTAACAAGCTTAATCCATACTACTCTGCAAGGTCCACTAATTGATATTACAGTTTATACATGTAAACCAATTAACTCTAATCAACCATAATAGAATTTAAATGTTCACAGGTTTATTTTTAGTAATTCTAGAACATGACTAACTGCAAATTATCACTAAGAATTTTAATACCAAAGCTTAAACATCTTGCAGTTCCTCCCATCCAAACTGTAAACCAACTTAGGCCTAAATAAGCACACTAAACCATTTAAATCCACACGCTTATTTTATAACATTGAGATAGGTTTAATTAAGAATTTCATTGCTAAGAATTGCTATTCTAAGTGTTAAGCAATTCTGCATCCTTTCATAACAAAAACCCAGTAAACTGATTAATTAAGCATTGTCCACTGTCGCATTAAAACAAAGTTGTTTTATTTTGCATAAATCTTCTCTTAAGGATTTTAATCAAGCTTAGACCACCTCTAAACACCTCAGTATAGCTTCCAACAGAAACTGAAAATCCCAAAATCCAAGTTCTGTAGCCCACACAGTCGCAGAAAAATTAAAAAACGCACACTCGAGGGAAGAGCCTGCTCCACCAAAAGAAGAGCCTGCTCTTCCCATCTTGGAGCCGGCTCTACTTAAAAGAAGAGCCTGCTCTTCCCATCTTGGAGCCGGCTCTACTTAAAAGTAGAGCCTGCTCCAAGACCCCTAGAGCCGGCTCTACTTAAAAGTAGAGCCTGCTCTTCGTCCGAAAGAGCCTGCTCTTTAAAACAGTAAACCGTCTCTCTCTCTGTTCTTCATCGTTTTCAATTCCGGTGAGTTTCTGATGAACTGACCTTCATACCTAGGGTTCCTAAGTGTTTAAATCAAGTTCCAACTTATACCAGAATCCACTAAATTCATTGTTCAGTTACTAAAATTAATTAAAACATGAATTTTGCATCAATAGTTTAATACGAGCAGTTTAAGCATTCCGGAGTATCGACTGTTGTAGCAAATCAAACTTGCAACCTAAATTAATTCTAGTGCTTTCTAACATGTTATAGAACTAATTAAAATCATTACTCATCAGTTTACACGAATTAAATAGAGGTTACACAAGGAAGAAATTAAAACAAACGATACACACGTTTCAACTACAATCAGTTTTAAAACAACAGAGGTACAAGAAATCCAGTTTAATTTTAATCCTTAACAGTTCCCTGGAGTTGTGTTAGACATGCAAAGAACACGAGGTAACGGGAAGGAGTGAGGATTAGAACTTGCCTTTGAGACTTTTGTTCAAAATATCTCCGTTGTCTTCTAAGGTTCCGGCGATTCCTACTGCAAAATTCCTCCTTTGTTTCTCTCTGCCTCCACAGGCGTGTATAGGTTTTACTTTTCTTAAAACCCTAAGCAGACTTATCTTATATATTTATAGGCAACCAAAAACCTAAGTCCAATTATATCCAAAGTCTGAAACTCGGCCCATAAACACAACCTAGTTTATAAACCCTGTCGGCTCATTAAATTAAACCTAAACATAACTAAAACCCTAACCACACTTTTATACCTAGTCATTAATTAAAACATTTAATTATTAATTCAATTAAAGAAACAATAAAATTCCAAGTTAACGTAAAACAGAAATATTATTAATTCAATTAAAGAAACAATAAAATTCCAAGTTAACGTAAAACAGAAAATAAAATACAATTTAATAACTAATTAATTAATTGATTCACAATCCACCACGAAATAAATAAAAACAAATAAAGTCACACTTAATCAACAAATTCACAACTAAATAAATAAAAACACAATTTAAATAATTAAATAAATTCCATAACTATCCTTGTTAAATTAGGGGTATTACAGTGGCATCTTCCTGTTTTAATTTTGGTGGTTGGGTTATAGAATCGGTGGTTGTGGTGGTGGTAGGGAGAGAGAGGAACGGTGTTGTGGTGGTGGAGAGAGAGGAACGGTGATGGTGGTCGTGGTTGTGGTGGTGGAGAGAGATTGGTCTGGGAGTTAGAGGGTGAGGGAGGCGACGATATATATATATATATATATATATATATATATATATATATATATATATATAGTCCCAATTGGCAGTTGTAGAGGCCAATTCGGGTTTCGACGGGAACCAAAAGAGAAGGAGGCGAGAAGACTTTTGGGTTGCGGCGGCCGAATTGGCTACTGAGAAGGGTTTTGGAAAGACGGTTGGTGAGGTTGGAGAGGGTGGTTTGGTGCTTAGCCACCACGATTCGGCTGCCAACGCCACTGTCTCTTGTGCCGACATCCTCGCTGGTGTCGATGGTGGTGTTGTGCTTGTGTGTGTGTGTATATATATACATATATGTCTCTGTGTGTATATATGAGTATATATATATATGTCTCAGTGTGTGTGTGTATAGGGATATATATATGTCTGCCTATATATATAATATAATTTGTAAATTTACAAATTTTTAAGGGGCCATATTGTCTTTTAACAATGATATTTTGGAAAAAAAATAAATTAAAAAAATGAGGGTAGACCAAAGTCAATGGTCAAACTAAGGTCAAAGGGTAAGAATGTCTTTTTACATGTAAAAAGTGGTCTGACATACCTGTAAACTAACTTTTGGTGTGTGAGTGAAAAACGAAGTAAAGTTTGTAACGTGAGTGACAGTTATTTTCGAAAGATGTTTTAAACTGATATTTGGCCAAACTACTGGGAGTGTCAGTGAAATTATCCCAAAAAAAAAAAAAAAAAAAAAATTGTCATGTCTCAAAAAAAAAAAAAAAAAAAAAGGTTAAAAATTAGGGTAGAGAAAAATGCTTACTGACGAGGGTAGTTTTCTCAATTAATGGGGCTGATATTTTGTAAATTAATTGAATTAAACAATCAGGGACAAATATGAGATTTGAAACCATAGGAGGTAACATTGTTAAAAAAGTCGTTGACCCGCATCTGAGTAACATTGACCTAAACCTCAGGGGGTGTTAATGCAATTTACCCTTAAAAAAAACTAGGTGTCGGGATGCAATAGGGGAATATTTTGTAAAATTTGGGAGAAATATTAATATTTCATAGGTATATAATTCAAAAAAGAAAAACTCACTACTATATAATACTAAAAAAAAATTAAAAAATTTAGTGGGGACAATTGCCCCCACTGCTTGTACGCTAGGAGCCTAGGTCCATCAAAGTATAAGACTCATGGGAATGTTTGATTGGAGGGATGGATGAGACAAGGCTTACAAAATTCTTTTTTGTTACGTTTGGTGTGCATGAATGGAATAAAATATAATGAAATGTACATTTCAACCATTCATTTGTTTGGTATACAATTTAAAATAGGAACGGTTATTTCATTGGAATGAAAATTCGTTTCATAACTAAACCTATAGAATGATCATTTTAGTCCCAAGTTAACTTTTAATAAAAAATCAACTTTCCATAAAAACCCTTACCATTTCCAAGTAAAAAAATCATCACTACCTTCCACCACAACCATCTTCGCCTTTCACCACCGCCGCCGCCACGGGCTTTCAACATCGCCCACCGCTTTCCACCACCACCGCTACCACCTTTCACCACCGACACCGCATTCACACACCAAACATAGTATTTGTGTTTGGTTGAAGGGAAGGGAATTGAGGGAGGAAGTAAGTAGGTATGAAGCATCCCTACTTTTGTATTTTACTGTTCGTCCAAATTTGGGAGGGAGAGATGAGAGATAAAAAGGATAACTACCAACAAATTTAGAATTTTCAATTTTAACCTTCCTAGAAATTTAAAATATATTTTCACATTTTATAATCGTATATAATGAGGGTATATTAGTAAAAAGATTATAAATACATTATAAATACTCTTTTTCCCTTCTTTCAAACCAAACGAAGAAAAAATTGTTATTATCCATTCTATCCAACCCAAAATAATAATAATAAAAGATAAAAAGTGAGACAACGTTTCCCTTCCTAGATATGGCTCATTCATCCCTCCCTCTTCTTTCATTCATTTTTCCATTCCTTCCTCCTCCAATCAAATGGAGCATGGATTTGCTGTTTTACTGCCAACTTTGAGATTAACCAAAAAAAAAAAATCTAAAATGTATTAACATGTTGCATCTAGACCCGAGTTTGTGTTGATTTCATAAGATTTATCTTGTTTCTCCAGGCAAAGAAACAATTGAAATGTCTAGCACTGCTCTTATGAAAACCTAGGATTAAGTAGTTATATATACATACATACATATATAGTACTCTACCGAGAAATAGAAATGCAAACACAAAATTTTGAGATTAACCAACGATGACTAAATGGGTCAGCATTAAAATAATTGTACACAATTTTTCATGATCAAATGTTTAACATGTAATTTTTTTCATAGTTACGTTTAAAATGTCATTTGAATTGCAATTACAAGAATTTCTCACTAAAAATGTCTCGACATTAATAAGCATCTCAATGGCACTGCTTAATTTTGTCATCCAATTGATACAACTAGTAATCCCAATTACTAAAACTAGAATAAGTTCCTTCATTTTTATAAAAGAAGCCTGTGAAGTCCAAAACTGAATCACTATCATTCAAATGATATAGCATCAAGTGAACGAGACTAATTCGGTCTTACACTTCAATTAAACAACATTTTGGATCTTCTCATTCGTTTAATACTATGGTCGGTTGAGCCCGGACTCACTCGCTCCATATTCGCTGCTATCGAACTCTTGTCTTGACATTGCCATTTTCTTGAACTTTGACATGTCGGCATCAAATGAAGTCGTATTTAGCAGAGTTCTGACAAAATTTGCCGCAATCATTCAAGTCCTCCATGGACGAGCCCCCCCCCTTCTAATGCTCAATGGCTCATAAAATCTGCATATACATAAATATTTATATATGTAACATAGATATCAAACGAGATCATTTAAGCATATGATTTAATACAAACAAAAAATATGCTTCAAACTAAATGTAGGAACAAATTGCTCCTACCACAAATTAATCACGCCATCTCTAATTTATAGCATTTCCATGTTGCTGTTGGCAAGGTGGAAGTATAAATTAATGGGTAGGAATGTAGGATTGCAATCAAGCTGAATTGAGCTTTTGGTTGTTCAAACCGAACAAAACAGCTAGCTATATTTTGAAGTTCGATCTCGGGTTTGAACTCTCACATTTACTTTTCTCCTTTATCTAACAATCAAAACTAATATAGTCCAAGCAGTTCATGTAGAGCTCGAACAAATTGCAACCTTGTTCTTAGAAAGGTATGCTATCAGTAGACTGGAGTAGTTATATACATGAATATTTCTCACTGGTGTGACGGTGTCACTAACCAATTATATTTTGTTACATAAATAATTATTCATCTATTTCAGTGGATCTCATCACTATGTATCAACATTAATCAATCACTGATACCATATTATCGGTATTACAGATGCATTATCGGATTTTTTCCATGTGCATGCGCATTGTGCATCTCAGGGCTCCATACCTGGCTCATTTTGGGGTGCCTTCTAGCCAGAATGACAGATGCTAGCAGCAGTACAGCCAACCATGTGTACCATCTCATCGGCGACGTCGTTACCTTCTAAAGCATGAATCAACCAGTACATTATAGTTGCCATTTTCCAATGTCCGTGTCAGAATTGGCCCAGCCTGTTTAGTCACATATATGGCCACAGAAAATTAACATTGCAAGAACATGCAAGTTCCAAAACTGAAAAATTAAACTTCTCCTTCGTGACATATATAAATGTATAATGTATATATATTCCAAGATACTTATATATTAGAGATAATTAATTGATTAATTAAATGACTAACCCAGCCTACTAAGCAGTCTTCCATTATTCTGCTAGAAGTAACCACACCATACCGTTATGAGTTCTAACAGCATCACAACATATTGGAAGTCACGTATATATATTCCAACACTATAAATTAAACATGATTATGAACATGTACATGGTTGGAGTGACTAGAAGAGATAGGGTAATTTAGGTGTGGCAACCATTAACGAGAAAATACGAGAGTAGACTTAGATGGTTTCGGCATGTACATCGGAGACCTATAGATGCACCAGTGAGAAGAGGAAGTTTAATTTCCATAGAAGGTGAGAGACGGAGAGGGAAACAAACAATAACATGGGATGAAGTTACTATAAATGACTTTAAAAAGTAAAATAGTAGGTGAAATGACGGGTAATAGAAAGGTATGGGACAGAAAATGCATGTGGCCGATCCCATTCATATGGGAATAAGGCAAGGATGATGATGATGATGTATATGTACTGTGTGTATAAATATATATAAATGGATACAATTAACATGTACGCTAGGTATTATAATTGTGTACATGTATTCCAGTGAATTTGTATACATGCTTATACAATTATATGTGTCTTTGATGTATTTTACAAAGCCTGATAAATTATTTCAGAATTTCAACCAAACACCAAAAGAATAAGATAAAAAGATGATAAAAATATATATTCTTAAAAAAAAGGATACATATGTATATATATTATATGACTTACAGAAATGTCATCATGATACGTGTAGAGACATGAGCTCTACACGAGTATTATTGTCCTTATTAAGTTTAGCCAATCCAAAATCGCCAACCTGAGAAGAACATTAGTTCATAAACACACAACCAATTAGCTTGGGCAAGAAAGGCTTCATTGTATGTGTTATGGAAACATGATGCATGGTCCTTCATATTCTTACAGTTATTGTCCAGTAAAAAATTTGCAGCTTTGATGTAATGATGGATATTCAAGGGTGACCTGCATGTAGCCAACAAATTAGAGAGCGAGCGACCTAGAGAGAGAGAGAGAGAGAGAGAGAGTTATGAATTAATCAAAATCTCATACAGTCTTGATGAAGGTAAGCAAGCCCTTTGGCTGATCCCAATGCAATAAGTAGCCTAGTCGCCCAGTCCACGGTGGGCTGAGTGGCTGATCCTTTCCTGCAAACAAAATTAAGTTTAATTGCAAGAAAATTCACATAATATGAAGAGTAAAACTAACATGTCTTGCATGTATAAATATTATCCTCCATATATTCCCTATTATAGGTCTATTTCTTGTTAAGATCAGATTAATGGGGAACACTTGGCTTCTTTAAAGAAGCAGATTAGTGACACTAACAAATGCATGTTGGTTATCATATATATATAAGTTTGAGAATGTAAAAACTTACCATGAAGGTGGAACTCAAGGTTTTTATTTGGAACAAATTCATAGACCAACATCCTCTGCCCACCAGCAATGCAATATCTAACAAGCGAAACAGGACGTGGATGATACACCGGGTTAATGATCTCAACCTCGGTCTGGAATTAGTGATCTCCCTGCGCATTACTGGACTTTAAACTCTTAATCATGACCTCCTTTCCATTAGGCAACACACCTTTGTGTACAAACCCAAACCCACATTGACCTTGCAGATTTTCCAGAGAAAATCCACCGGTGGCAGCGGTTAGCTCGTCATAAATGAAGGTGTTCTTATTGAGGCCCAGCCCCAAATTGGGACGGAGGTGGCAAGGGTGTATGATGTGGGCCGGAAGTGACATACTCGCTGGCCAAATTTGCCAAGGGGCAGCGTAGTGCAGCCCAGACACCAACATGGCTACCTATGGGGAGTAGCCATCATACCTGGTGGTGGAGGAAGCTTAACAGCATGGTCTACAGATTGGGTAGTGTCATTCCACTGCTGCCAATCTTGGGTATACCCACATTCACCACCTTAACATAAACCAAAATTTTAAAATTCAAAACTATTATATATGCCCAAAAACTGTCCCCAAGCTTCCATTCCATCCAAGCACTGCTGATTGATCACTCCCGACCAGTTCATAGTCTACAAGCATACCAATTTTGAATCTATTAGATAACAATAGAGAACTAGAATAATCTCTAATTTCGGTTTTAAATTCAACATCCACACTTTCATATCTCCTATACCTTATACATCTACCACATCTCAGTAGTATACACCGTTCAATTCCATGGGATGTAAGTTATTGTATGGTCATAAATGATACATAGTAATCATCTTCCTTTAATATAACTTCACTTGCTCAATATAAGGACAGAACCCCATTAGTCTCATAATTCAGAATAGTGCTGGTTATATAACCAACACCAGCAATTTTGACATCTTTGCCCATCAATAACAATTCATCGTCGCCGCAGAGAACATTCTTCATTAGCAAGTCCATGCATCAATCTATTATAAGTAGCAATATCAGGTATAAAACCCCTGTCCAACATCTCATCTACTAGATGCTCCCCTTCCTTCCTTTTACCTTCCTTTGCATACCCAGAAACCAAAATGCTGTATGTCATGCCATCTGAATCCAATCCCTTGCTAGAGGCCAACAACCTCAATCTATTTGCTTCAACCATTTTTCCAGCAATGCACATATCTTGAAGTAGACAATTATAGGTCACACTATCTGGAAGAATACCCTCCTTCAACATATTTTCCATCAATTCAAATGCCTCCTCAATTCTTCCCAATCTCCTCAGACCTTCAATTAAAACTGTGCAAGCAATCAAGCTTGGAACATTCCCTTTCCTCCATAACTCATACATTACCTCCATCGCTCTGCCAACATTTCCATCCCCACAAAGCCTCTCAATTATATCAAAATAATCATATCTATTAGGCAAAACATCTTTCCTTGAGAAATCAATCAATAAATCGCACGCCTCCAAAGCCCTCCCTTCTTTACAAACCCCACCAATCAAAATCTCACAAGTCACGTTTGAAAGTTCACACCCCAACTCAATCATCTCATATGCCATCCCAATTGCTTCCTCAATCTGCCTCTCCCTGAAAAAACCCTTAATCAAAGTATTAAAACTAACCACATTGGGACTACAACCCTTAACTTTCATCTCTTTAAACATTTCCAAAGCTAACTCAAATCGTGAATTCCGACAGTAACTGCTAATCAATATATTAAACGTATAAACATCAGGGTTGACCCGATCCTTAATCATCCTGTTGTACAATCCCAACGCTTTTCCGTGTTCTCCATACTTGACAAAACCATGGATCAACATATTGTACACTGCTACATTAGGTAACCCATCAATCAATTTCCGCATATTATCAAATGCAATCAGAGCATCATCAAATCTACCAACCCTACAATAAGAGTAAATAGCGAAACGGAAAATGGGTTCAGTTCTTGGGCAAGAAAAAATACCGTCAGAACATGGGCAGGGGTTGGAGACGATGAACTCGAGGAGGAAGCGGAGACCGTCGAAGCGATGGGTGATGGCGAGGGTGCGGACCATCCACTCGAAGGTGGCGTGGTTGTGGCGGAAGGAGTCGAGGCCAGCGGCGTAGCGGAAGATGTGGAGGTCGAGGTGGGTGAATTTTGGGTGGTGGTGAAGGTGGTTTTTCAGGAAGGTGAGGAGGTCTTGGGGCGTGAAACAGGGCTTGAGGTGGGCATTGAGGAAGTGGCCGAGTTGGGATTGGAATGCGGTGGTGGTGGATGAGGAGAGAGGAAAAGTGGGAAGACTACTACGAGAGGGTGCAGATGGGGATGAGAAGGCTGGGTTTGGAGCCGAAGTCGGGAGTTGCTCAATTTTGGGTCTGTTTTTAGGGAGTTTCTTAAAGGCCATGATGGTTTGGTTTTCTCAAAACACAAACTCTAGTATTAGATATTATGCCAAAACCATATCATATCACCAACACAGTTTGTATCAAATTTGAACTCAAAGGAAAGACTAGGGTTTACGAGAAGATTACTAGGTAACTCCGAAATTTACGAAGAAAACCCTAGAATTGAATTGCTACAAACAACGATTCAATGGATCAGAGAGAGTAGTACCAGTTTGACTTGCTTAACATTCGCACGGTTCTGTACTTTCGTGCGGGCCTCTACGGCGGTGTTGTTGCGCATTAAAAAATCGTTGTAATCCCCAGTATTTGCAGACATTGAAACAGCTTAGGGTTGCAGGAGAATGCTGAGTCGTACGATAGTGGTCAGACGGCGGAGATTTCTTTCATCTCAATGCTTTTGGTGGACTTCTCAGTAGTGTGAGAGAGCTATATTAGTTACGAAAAAAAAAAAAAAGAAAGAAAAAGAAAAAAAGAAAAAGGAACAGGTCAGTGTAATCAATGTATTATGTATATATTTTTTTATTAAATGTATTATGTACTGTGTTTGGTAGATTAAGAAAGGGTTTGAAAAAAAGAAAAAAATGAAAAGGATAAAAAAAATTGATAGTATTAATTAATGAATTTACTTAGTGTTTTTTTTTTTTTTTTTTTTCATAAATTAGCACTCTTAATCTTAATTAGGTTACAACGTTGTAACTCTTTGAATTATAATTCTATATATATATGCACGCATTTTTTAGGAAGGCGGTATTTGTATTCTATTTTTCAAGATATGCATTATAATCTTAAATAAAATGGTAATTTTAACCCTAACTTTATAAATATATAATTATTATTCTTTAAATGACCCAACTACCCTTTTAGATTTCCTAAAAAAAACTAAATAATTTTTTTTTTTACGGACCAAAAAAAATTTATATCGAATAAATTGCCTCTTTTGATCAGACCAAAAAAAAAAAAAAAAAGTAACCATAAAAAAAACACAAAAACAAACCACCAACAAAACGAAACGAACCAAAAAGTTATTTTTTATCGAATAAATTATTTCTTTTGACATTTATCTCTTTTGACATGACTGAAAAAGTTAATTTTGTCAGATATTAAAGAAAGTAAATAAGGTAAAAAAAAAAAGAGTAAAAGTTATATAAAGGTTAGTTATGATATTATAAATTAAGGGATGTTGCATTAATGAATTTGAGGGTCTTCTTCTCATTTTCTTAAAAAAAAAAAAAATGTAATTGGAGAAAAGTAGAGTGGGAATATACCAAGTCACACAGAGCGGGAGTGGGAGCGAAAGTGTCAAAGTCTAAAAAATTTTAGAGCGGAAGCATCTATATATTATATTTTAATAAAATTATAGCATTGGTATATTAAGTTTAAATAAAATTATATCAGGTCATGACTTATATATTTTTAAATCTATATGTAAATATATTCATGATTATTTATTCCATTAATGATATATGTAATAAATAAGCTAATTTTTCTTACTAATAGATGTGTGATTATTTATAATATTCTCTTGAGAAGTTTTTTAGTAGTATATTTTTAAACATGCATAATTAATATATATATATATATATATATATATATATATATATATATATATATATATATATATATATATGGGGGTAATATAGCAACGCCATATAGCTGGGGTATACTGAAATTTAAGTAATTAATGTATATATAGAGTAATAGTTACATGCATATATGGTAATATCTGTATATGTGTTCCATATCATTGGAACTCTAACAAATTTAGCTATATAAAGTAAATTCGTATGGAAATCGCGAATTAGAAAAACAAATTAACGAATTGTAAAAATTGAATTCGCGAATTGGCTCCCAAGTCGCAAATTTACGTGCGGAGCTTGAGAAGCCCCGGGAATATTCCCTCCTTATATTTATTCATAAAATAATTGTTTATCTTATTTTATTATGCTTGTTGCATGATGTATATAGTATTACTTAGTATTAAATTCATAAGGTAGTTTTGACATATAAATCATTTTATTTTTAATCTCTTGCTATTCAAACTAATGAAATAACATTTTTTCACAAATTTCTTTAAAAAAGATTCATGCTAACCAAATACATAAAAAAAAATTCATACTAACCAAATGCGTAATAAAGTTTTCTTTTTCTTTCACTTTTCACCTCTAATTTCTGGCCAAATGACCCTTAATGATTTATACCAAACATAATATTACATTCCCTTCCATGTCCCACTTAAATGTGGTGGATTGGATGGAAAAGTATAAAGATATATATAATTTAGGTGTTAATTTCACTTAATAGTCTAAATTTTTAGGTCAGTACAATTAGACTAACTTTATGCAAAATAAATAAACTATCATTTTCAAGCCAAAGTATTTTTGTTGATCCAAAAATCATTTACATCAACGGTAAACTTCTTAATGTATAGTTAACGTATAAGTGGAATTTTATCAGCTAAACTTGTTAATGTATAAGTGGAATTCTATTATTGTGATTTTCATCTATACATATACATATATATATATAAAAGGGTAAAGTGCAAAAAAATACTTGAAATCTGTCAAAATTTGTAAATAATCCTCTTGAAGTGTATTTTGTGCATATAACTCCATATATTATCACATTTAGTTATAAAATGTCCCTTTGACTATATTTCATTAAATGACCATAATACCATTTCTTATTGAATTACACTAAATCTTTTTTTATTATTGAAATAAATTATGAAAAGTAATTCATATTAATTTGATGACATATTCTCTATTAAATTTTTATTAATTTACATTTAATTTTTTAAATAAAAATGTTGAGTAGAAATTTTTAAAACAATTTAAGTAATTTCTTAATTTTTCATGAATATGTTACTTAAAAAAGAAGGTATTTTTTATTTAAGTTATTTATTAATTTTTCAATAATATATTGTATGAAAATATGGTAAGTTTATGGTAAAAAAGTTCAAAGTGAGTATCATTAGTTTTATTATAAATAGTAAAATTTTAATAATAAGTTAATCATTTTATAAATGGTACTTACAAATCTTCTATTATTTATTTTTATTTTTATGATAAATTAATAATATTAATAAAATTAAGATAAATGATATAATTAATATTTTGATAAGTTAAAAGATAATAAAAATAATTTAATAAGAAATAAATTTTTTAATGAGAAATGATACAATAGTCTTTTGTAATAGATTTGTCTTTAATAGTAATGTATCAATAGTTTGGGGGGTAATTTGTAGTTCAGGTTACATGCAAAAGACAAATAGTCTAAGAGGTTTTTTTTTTTTGCACTTTACCCTATATATAATTTAATTAGAATGTATCTCTTCTTTTTAAAAAATTACATTTCAGTCCATAAAATTCAAAAAATGTACAAATGTAAAAAATATATATATATATATATATGAAAATCTGATTTTACCATTCTTGTTCCTATTTTGCCCCTAATCGAATTTGCATAACACTACCCCTCCTGCTTCGTATGTTTGAAAAACATATATAACAACTGAAAGTTTTGACAGGGAACAATAAATTAACAAAATAAGGATTTACAGCAAATAAAAACAAACATCCGTTTTTTTGCCTCTTGCTCTGATATGAATTTAAGTTTATGTAGTAGTATATTTTATGATTTTTTTGAATGGATTTTGTTTGATATGTGAAACAAAATAGGTCTTTCTCTTGTTTTTCATTTCTCCAAATCTGAGTTTTTAGCTCTAATTGATTCAGATCTTGAATTTTCAGCCTTAGGTTTGAGAAAAAGGGATTGGAGTAATAGATTGAAGTTAGGGCTACAAATTTATGTAAGAAAATTGGGAATGGAGTGTGAGAGTGAACCGGAGAGAACATAGTGTAAACTATAATAATTCACGTTAAGCCATTAATCACAAATTTATATAACTCCCATATCTTAGAATTTCATGATTTTCACATATCTATAATGCATAAATAAATACTAGTTAGATATAAATACCTCGATTCACGATATTAATTCTTGTTGAGATTAAGTCCAACGTCCAGATCCTTTGGCCACGAACTAATCTGCAACTCTGATCAACAAGCAAAGGTGGAAACTGGTTTATCTCTCTTGGCCTTTTACACACATAAAACTTTTACGTGTTGTTTCATTAATTGTACATAATTGATGGAGTATATGCACTTTTATAAAGGCAGAGAGAGGACCAGTTTTCCTATTAGTAACATAATTCTACTTTCCATCAAAGTAAGGAATAAGAAAGGAAAACACTTCTCCAATAAGTAATTACCAAAAAGGTAATTATAAATTGACCAAAAATAAATAATATTAATTGATATCTATTTACTTACCCACCAAGCAATATGTCACATATCCAAATCATGTGGGCCACAATTAAATAAATAATCTTACATTCTCCCACTTGGCATGTATGATAATTTTTGTAGTGGTTTAGTAAAATAGTCATTAATGTGCACCATAAATCAGATTAACTCATTAAATTGGTCATCATAAATACCATGGTAAATAAATTACTAATGCGAGTCGTGGCGGTTATATATCCTTAAATAACACAGTCCCTTCCATGTACCACAACACTAGTAATCTATTCAACATAGTCTATAAATGAGAAGTATCAATAATGATCCAATAATAATGTCTTTTCCAAGACTATTCCTATTACTACTTATTAAAGCAATACGTACATGTACATTAATTAATAGGAAATATCATAAACACATTTAATCAGCGCAAAATGTCAAATATATATAAGCAATATTTAAGTAATCCACAATTAAAAAATAATCATCATTGACTACATTTAAGACCTATTCTTTCAACATGTTCCATAAATGTCTTAGATGGTAGTCCATTCATTAATGGATTGCAATCATAAGTTGTGTGCTTATAATTTCAATAGACATTCGTTGTTTCTAAATATTTTATTTGATGATAAAGTATTTCAACTTTATAATACCTATCATTTTTCATACAAGAAGATCAACAATTGCAGCATAAATTTTCAGCAATCTAAAAACGGTACCCATAACTCCAAGTCCTGAAATAAATTCTACAACCATAAATTATAGTCTCAAAGCATGCCACAAATTAAAATTTCATAATAGACAAAGTAATCATAAATTACTTTGCACTTTTTCATAATATTGTTCCTCCAACCAAATCTTCTAGAACTCTTTTAATATATGCTTTATGAGACAATTTTAAAAACAAATCAATGTGATCTATAATGAAATATTTCTATTCCTATCACATAGGATGCCTTATCCATATATTTCATTTCAAATTTCTTAGAGATAACTTTTAGTTTCATATAATAAACTAAGATCACTACTAACAAATAAAATATCATCAATATATAGAATCTGAAATATAAACTTACTCCCACTAATCTTCTAGTATATACACTGATCAACAGTGTTTTTCTTAAAACCAAAAGAAATAATGGTATCATTAAACTTAATATACCATTGTT